AAAAAAAGAAAAAAAAAAGAATATATAGATCTGGATATCTAAAATCCTGTTTAGCAGGTATATTATATCTCACGCGGTTTCTGTCCTGACTCACGTTAGTGTTCTGACTTCCATGTGTAGTTTTTATGCACTAGCCATAATGCCTAGAATATTTATAATATCAATACAGTCTTGTTTCACTCTGAGCTTGGAATCAGGCTCCTAAGAGACACAGGGACATTTGTGCAGCCCTGGAAAACATTAAATATCATTTCGGAGGGAAAAAAAGGTGTAGCATGGTATTTACTGGTAGCCTGAAAGTCCTGTGAAAGCTGTGTGAAGGCAGACTAGCAGAAGATGATCAGCATGCACTACTGTAGATGAACGGTCTTGTTAAATGAGAAACACAGAAACAATGCATAGATGAAAGCCCAAGAGGTCAGAGCTAAAAACCTTACTCCTCACTGCTGCTGTCGTCCTCTTCAGCAACAGACCTACTTCCTGTGTGTTTGTCTTTGTATAGACCTTCTGTTCTGCCTTCTCATTGGTTGTAAACCCAACCACATGACCTCCTAGTCACTGCCTGTCTGTACAGACCTCCAGGTCTTCTGTGGTTGGTATTGAGATTAAAGGCATGTGTTTCCATGCTGGCAGTATCCTTGAACACACTGAGATCTGCCTAGCTCTGCCTCCCAAGAGCTGGGATTAAAGGCATGCATCACCACCGCCCTGTTTCTGCTATGGCTTGCTATTAGCTCTGACCCCCAGGCAACTTTATTTATTAACATACAAATTAATACACATTTCAGTACAATTAAAATATCACAATACCCTAACTCAGGTGTGACACATGGGTCAGTTTTCAAAAACAGCTTTAGAGTGGAGTGAGGGGTATGCACATAAGAAAGCCCCATCATGTCTTTGGAGTAATGCCATTTAAAGATTTATTTAATTTTTGAATTTAAATTGAGGTGTGTTCTGTAAAAAAATGTATGTATATATGTATATAGCATTGGTTTTGATAAATTTCAGAAGCATGACTGGGAATAAAATTAAGCATTATAAAATCATACCCAAGGGACTAAAGAAATGTACTAGATTGATTATGCATTAAATGAAATACAGCAATGGTTAACTCTGTCTAGAGGTTTTATTAGTTCAATAACCAGAGGTTGATTTTTTAAGTTATTTTTCTATAATGTTTGATCCTTTTTTGAATATAAAGAATTGTTTTAAACTCTAACTTCTCGACATTTTAGGTAAAAAAAGAATGAGCCATTATGTGCTCACACTATCCTATGACATGAGAAATCAATCTAGCCTTTTTTATTTTTTACAGAAATATAAACTCAAAAATAATTTGAAAGGAAAAGGATTTTTACAAAACTAAATTTGTTTCTTTTTATTGTTACTGTAGGTATATAATAAAATGTGAAATAACCAATAAATAAATAAATGACAATCTTAATTACTGAATGCTGCAAATTATTATTTTTTTTCTTTTCATTTCAGCTCTCAGGAGAAGTAATTCTACAAATTGCCAGTGAGCCTGTTCTGCCCTTCAATGCCCTTGATATAGCCTTAGGAGTTCAAAACAGTCTTAAAGGTAATTTTTCTCTAAATTGTTTTAATTTTAGTAAATGAGAAAGTTTTCAAATACTGACGAGAAGGACTAGATGAAGTATCCAGTCTCTTAAAAGTTGTAGCAATGATGTGGCTCTGTCCCTGGAGGGGAGAAGGGGAACAATTGAAAACTGTTTAAGGCACCCTGCAGACAGAACTGAGACAGACTTTGTGTGACAAAAGGCAGTGTGTCCCAGACTGAAGGAGGCTGATGGCTGTCTGTCATTAAAGAGATTTGGATCTCAGAGCTTCCCTTACTAGTCACAGATTCATTGTGAGCTAGCAGTTCAGGAATCCACCTCTCCCCCAACATTGTCCCTAACACATTCATTCCACACAGGATGGAATCCTAAGTTTCTCCTCAGGCACTGGTTCCTATGGATGTGGTAGACATTCCTGGTTCATGTGAAAGGGAGCAGTGAGGCAACCGGAGGATCAGTTCCATAGTTTCCATCTCAGTCCCTGACATATAAATGTATCTGCAGAACTCAGACCCCGGCACCGTCCAAATAGGTTACTGCTTGTCTTCATTTATTACATACAAAGGGGGAGATTGTGGCTTGTCATCTTCCTCCTGAGTCACATATTCTACTAGCAAGTCTTTAAATGGTCAGTGATAGAAAACTACTCAATTGAAAAGAAAACCAGTATGTTAACCATAGTGCTTAAAGTGTCCTCTGATAGCAGAGCAGCCTCCAGAGCCAGGGTTCCAATGACTTGGAATTAAAAATATTTTTTTAAGTTGAAATTATTCTTCCTCAGACAATCATCCAAGCTGGTTTGTTTATTGTGTGTTTACTTTTACACTGGATGATAACAATGGTTGTCACTTTTGGGCTACTTTTGTTTATCTCTGTAGTTCTCTTCTTTCATGCTTCCATCTCTCCAAGGTTGCCATGGCTACTGGTGCCATTCTGTCTCCACTTCATATTTGCTATTTCTAGAATATTTGGAGCTCAGAAATGTGGTAGTGAAGCACATGGCATTTTACAAAGTACACATAGAGCAGGTACAGAAAATAAATAGTTCTGTGAATAATAACCTTTCTCTAAGAATTTTATTTTTAAAAAATGTTTTGTTTGTTCTGGAGGCTGTTTTGCTTTTTGTTAGCATCTGAACTTTATCCTCTATAAAATTCTGTTGGTCTGGAAGATAGTACTTTAAACTTTCAGAGAACAAAAGAGGAGGCTTTTAACATTATGAAATTGTTGTCCTTCTGTAAAGTATCATATATGAGAAAGAATCTCAAGTAGTGTACTTGAAAATACCAACATTGTATAATAGAATTATAAACAAGTTTCTTTCTGAGTAGAAATTGTCTATGATCAATGCATTTGCAAGAAAGAAAAATAGAATTACAATTTAAAAGGTTAAAGAAATTGAGGAAGTAAAAATATGTGTCAATAAAATGATTTTAAATGCTCTTTGTTATTTTTTAAACAATAAGTAGGTAAAATGGTTTATTATTATAACAACTACTAACACTTTTATAATTTAGGGTACTTTTAGGGCTCAAAAAGACCTATTATTTATAGTGAATGTCATATTATTAATCTAGTTTTGGTGGGCAGTCAAAGACCCCTTTCAATATAAGCCCCATCTCTCTCCCAAGTAAAGAGAATAGGAGGCTAATAATGTCACTCAGTTGCTGTTTCTCACTTTCACTATAATTTAACATATAAAAGCACTTTAAAACAATCAATGCCTATAGAGTTGTGGTGCCTATTTTTTTCTTTGTCAGAAGTCTGAATATTAATAATTTAAAGTTATTGTAAAAGTTGCATGAGCCCAAGTAAGCAGAAGTAATTTCCATTTGATCTGGCTACATATACATTTTTTAGTGCAAGCCAGACTTAGTAGGAAATGTAATTTTGAACACTGTGGCTTGTTGCCACCTTTGGATTGTCTCACTAAGTTTAAATACTTGTTGGCAGCTATCCCCCTGTTCCTTAAATAACCGACAATGCTGATCTGCTGGGATCTTCTTCCGTCTTATTAGCGTTGATAGTTCGCTGATGTCATTCACTGCATTTGGGAACAGGGCAGAATTTTCAAGGTGATGGTGCAGAGAGACCAGGATTTACAGTCCTGTTATATTTGTAACTTCAATTTTTAAATGTCATGAGCATTTGAAACCCATATAATGTGTTTAATTTTCTTCCCGAGTAATATAAAATGAATTTCCCAATTGGCAAAATTAAGTTATATGCCAAACAAATTGCATGATTCTTGTTCTAATGCCATCTGTCTCCATCTTGGTTTTAATTACCACCAGTGTCCGCTCTGCACTTGCTGATACATGGGGAGCCATCTCCCTGCTCACCTAGTTCTGCCAACTCCTCTTCAAGTCCATGGCAGTCTAAATTCTAGTGATTCCCAAAACAAACTTTACTTTATTTCCATGGACATTTGGGATGGTGCTAGATCTCCAGCATGTTCATAACAGGAATGTCTGAAACACAGCTTATTTGTGTGCTAAGTATTTCACAGAGCACTCACTCCTCCAGTCTCTTTTAGTCAACCAAAAGGGTTGAAAAATATTTTTAAAAATAAATTTAGCCTTAATCCTCACTTTATTTACATATTAATTCTGACTATATGCTTCACTTATTAATAATCAACACCTAAACCAATGAAATATTTGAGAGAGGAACCAGAACAGAATCGCATCCATTTTCATATTATTGGTGTTGGCCTGTCCAGTTAGAGTTTTCTTCCCTACAGGGGAAGAAAATCAAAATTTTCAATCAAAATCAAAATTCAAAATCACTGGTTCTGCTTGTTTTTCAAATAATGCCCCTTTATTGATATTCTATGTTCTTGGTTCTTTTCATATTCCTTGGAATTATGTGTTTACTGTGGGAGTCCAGCTCCAACCTGTTCCAATCTTTTGAAGGGTTCTTAGGTGGAGGAGAGAGGGATAAGAAAATATCAGATAGAGAGACATAGACAATGAGAAGAACGATAGAAACACAGGATAGCTTCAGGAGGGCCTGGGTCAATACCCAACAGCCTCTTCATTTACTCAAAAAAGGTTTTTATATATGCCAGAGGGAGAAGCAAAAGACCTCCCCCTTGCAAGATCAAAGCACACTGTACAGCCAAGTGTAGACCCTTCTAAACACCTAGGAAACACGTCCGTGGCCAAATCATTTTCTTACATAGCCCTGCTGTGTAAAGCAACCCCAGATTCTCTGACCCTGAGTAAGGAATCACCAGGAAGCCTGGGTGGGTTCCACAGTTTACTTTTGTTCATCTCTTGTTGCCCAATTTACTGTCTGTCACATTTCCTCCTTTATGATGACGCTTTCCTTCTCAAAGACCCCACTCAGATGTGTGTTTCCTCTGCTTATGACTACAGTCAGATGCCGACCTCTTATTTTTCCTACTCTCCCACTACAGCAACTATTATATTAAAAATCTTCCAGAATGTATTTTTAATCCCAAACTCCATGCCTATGAAGTCACAAAATATCAATCTATTACTCTAAACCTTTTGCGTTAATGTTGAGATTTAATAGAGTTTGATCATTTCATTGGTTCAGTTGGTTTGCTTAGCCTGTATGTTCAATGCCCTGGGTTTGTTCTCCAGCAACAAGATCATAAATAATTCTTACTTGTAATAGAATATAAGGATATTCCCTCAAGTTCAGCAATTTTATTGAAACCTTGTCTTTTTTTTTAGTTAGACCATGCTAAATTAAACTCACATATACCCTTAAATATACAGCTTCAAATTTCTGCTTGAGATGGATAATGATAAGAATGTATAGTACATGAATATAGTTCATTTTAGAAAGCATTGGGAGCTGGAGAGGCATCTCAGTGGCTAAGAGTACTGTAGTACTTGCAAAGGACCCAGGTTCAGATCCCAGAAGCCACATGATAGCTCAAATCTGTATATCCAGTTCTAGGGAATCTAATATCCTCTTCTGGGCTCCATTGGTTCCTTTGACTTATGTGATACATATACTTACATGCAAGCAAAATATTCATATTCCTAAAAATAAAATGTATCTTTTAAAAAGAACAGAAATCTTTAGCTCTCTCTTTCAAAACTGTCAGTCAGATCTTTACTCCTCTGCACAGAGGCAGCATCAGTGAGTTACATAAAGTGTTCATGGTTCATTTTTTTATACCAGGCAGGCAGGGATGGAGGCAGAGCTCACTCCATACAGTGTTAGGAGATTGGTTAATTTTCTGTTGTAATAAAATATGATCACCAAGAAAGCTTATAGAAGAAAGAGTTATATTAGCTTAAGGCTCCATAAGGGGAGAGAGGTCCGTATTGGTGGGGAGGCCTGGCAACAGGCAGTCAGAGGACAAATCTGAGAGATCACCTCTTCAACAACAAACACAAGGCAGAGAGGATGCGTGGGAAGCTGGTCCATTCCCAGTGCTGTACTGCTTCCTGCAAGGTCCCATCTCCTAAAGGCTTCACCACCTCAAACAGCACCACAAGCTGGGTACCAAGCTTTAAACACGTGAACCTATTGGGGGACATTTCTTATTAGGTCTACACGGGGGAAAACCTCCATGCAGTGTTGGGAAAAGTGCATCCATGTAGCTAACGTACTCCTGAATGAAGTCTGCCTGTGCTATCAGATAACTTTTGCCTTCAAGAACATAATGCCAAACTACTTTTTGAAAAATAGCAAGTGCCTAATTCTTCCCCAAATATCCTTTTGTAATCTTTGTAATGGGGATCTTGCTTGCGTTCAGTTTAGCCATAGTTACTATATAGTCTTCTCTATTATTCATCTTTAAATATTCGATATGCACTGTAAAATCAAGTCTGGGTTATCTGAGCATTATTCTTGCTTTAGCTCCCACACATTTTTCTTTACCTCAGTGTTGTTTAAGGGGTCAGCTGAGATGATACATTGTGGCTCCTACTGAGGAAGACAGCATGAGGAACAGAAAGTGTAGCATAATAAAGAGCTGTTGTTCCCCCGGCTGACATCATATTGGCAATTTCTTTTA